GTACAAAAGTTCTGGGTGAGGTGACAAACACAAGACAGAACACGAAACAATGGGTATAAATTGGGTAAGTGAACATATGAATGGAAGTAACTGCAGAAGGTCTATTGGCCCATACTTCCTCTTGCTGCTTCCATATTGGTTCGGGGTCTTGAAGTGGGTAGAATATAGTTGTGCATTAATTGGCTGTTGATTGCTGGTGTTGACTTTTTGACGTGTAGTGCCTCGCTGATGTCGAGCCGCCTGCTATCGCCGTACCTATCGATAATTTCTGTGTTGTTTGTTAAGATTTCTTTGGTGATGGTCTGGTTGTGAGAAGAGATTATGTGTTCCTTGATGGCTCCTTGTTGCTTGTAACAATGCACAAGATCGATTTTGGGTTTTGGGAAGAAGTTAAAACACCCAAAATCGATCTTGGATCTTTCGTTTGGTCAAGCAAAAAGGACGTTCTACAAACAGACTGCTAAGTCTAAACCAGAACTGAAAAATTCGTTGGTATTACCATATTCTGATGGTCTAGTATATCTTGCCCCAGCCCTGAAGAACCTTAATATTAATCTAGTGTTCAAAAATGATAATACTGTTAAGTCCATGTTAATTAAGAACTCGCTCTCGTCTGTATCAGGTTGTGTGTATTCCATCCCTTGTAATGAGTGTGCATGTGTTTACATCGGCCAGATAGGTAAATCTCTTTCTTGGCGTTTAAAACAGCATTCATATGCTATTCGTACAGCCCAGCAATCCAGTGCATTGTATTTACATTCCAGTTTATGTAATCATTCTATCGACTTCACAGGGGCAAAATGTATTGTTAAAAGTAAGGATTTTGTTGAACGAAACGTGATCGAGTCTGCTCTGATCAAACATTGTAACAACAGCCTTAATGTGAGCCCCGGTATGTACAAGTTGGATCCCTATTTAAGCCTCAATATAGCACGTCAAAACAATATAGCATCCATTTAACACGTATGGTACTTGGAGATATTAATAGGAGCTGCCTCGTATGGGCCAATAGGCCTTCTGCAGTTACCTTCTTTCTTATATTTCCTTTCCTTCACTTATTCTTGGTGGTCAGGTGATCTGCCCAGGCGGATATAAAGGTCTGATCAGCAATGTTTTCTTATCTCCATTCTACTTTGCTCTGATGAAGGCGTATTAGCTGAAAACGCATTAAGAAGTTTTTATTTTTCACATGGTGTTATTCTGCATTCTGCAGATGAGAGTACCTGTCAGGTACATCAGGTACCTGTCTCAAGAGAGACAGGTACCTGATGTCAGACGCCTGCAGGAGGTGAAGGAGGCATTCGAGCGGAATTCTGTGTTGAGTTTCACTTACGAGATGGAGAAGGATGGGAAGCTGCCCTTTCTAGATGTAACAGTCATGGAAAGGAGCGGAGGTTTCCACATTGCAGTCTACACTAAGGAAACAAACATAGGAATGTGCCTCAATGCCAACAGTGACTGCCCAGACAGGTACAAGAGGAGTGTCGTTAATGCTTACGTCGACCATGCTCTCAGCCACAGATCAGGATGGAAGCAAGTTGATGAAGAACTCTGTAGGGTAAGGCAGGTCCTAGTCAATAACCGCTTCTCCAATGGTTTCGTTGAAGACATCATAAGAAGGAAGGTGAAACGCCATGCAACCTCTGAAGAGACAACTAACAAACACTTGTACCCCCAATTAGACTATTTTAGAGGAACTTCTTTTCCACAGCTCATAAAACGGAGGAAAGGGTCCTGAAAGATATTGTTAATAGGAACGTTATTCTTACAGACAAAAGTCAGAAGATACAATTGACGATTTACTATAAAACCAAAAAAACGGCCAGCCTACTCATGAAAAACTCTCCAGACACAAAGCCGAACGCTTTAAAAGAGACCAACGTCGTCTATGCCTTCAAATGTCCACTTGGGGACTGTAAGCCCCAAAGAACTCAGTATATAGGCAAGACAACAACATCTCTTTCCAGACGATTAAGTATGCATAAGCAACAGGGGCTCCATTAAGGAACATAAAATCTCTTCCCACAACCAGACCATCGCCAGAGAAGTCTTAACAGACAACACAGACATCATCGATAGATACAGCGACAGCAGGCGGCTTGACATCTGCGAGGCACTACACATCAAGAAGTCAACACCAGCAATCAAAAGCCAATTAATGCTCAACTATATTCTACCCACTTCAAGACTCCGCACCAATATAGAAGCATCAAGAGGAAACATGGGCCAATAGGCCCTTTGCAGTTACTTCCATTCTTTCCATTCATTTATCCATTTTATACCCATTGCACCGTGGTCTGTCTTGTGTTGTTCTGTCTTGTATTGAAAGTTTGGCCACCTCATCCAAAACTGTTGTAACATATCACCTCACCCAAATGCGAGTATATAAGACAAATCTGTTTAAATGTTAGCATAGTAAAACCATGGTTAGTGTTACAGTTGTGTGTGTGTGTGTAAACTAAAGTCTTTGAAAATGTAATAAGTTATTACGAAACACGTTCCAGTGTCGCGTCAGACTAGAAATAAAAATGAATTTTGGAGAATTGATTTTTCAATTACCATCGACAGTAAATAGAAACAAAAGAAATATTGAGAAAATTCGTGATAGAATTATTAATCTTACTTTTTTGGTCATATTTAACAACATATTTATATATACATACATATTCATACATACATACATACATACATACATATCATAGAATATGATTATGGGAAAATAGCTTCATAACTCTTGAATGTGAAAACTATGGATTGTTGCCATAATAAATTTGATTAATTTCAAGACTGTTGCCCCCGGATATAAATAGGAAGACTTTTACGGATTATTATGGAGTAGCCTAATGTGAGTAAACAAATTACATTTCATTATGGTGTTTGTTTCCTCCTCTTCATATTCTTATGTTGTTGAAAGGTTTACTGAACACCACATTGCTATTGAACCAGCACTAGACGGGGTGACTTAGTATAACATTGTACAAAAATTTTATTTGACCGCAAATGAATGTGAGTCAAGTTGGCGACCATGTTGATATAACCTTATGGACGGTGTTAAGGTAAAATATCTAGTAAGAGGTTCGGCCTGCTCCATCATCACCTCTTCTACCCATATCACGTCTATATTTCCAAGTACTGCAGCTACAAGAAGAACAACTACTTCCAGACGTCTAGACAGTACTACCAGTCTCCCCCCTTCACCACCACTGCCTGTCACCACACCTCGCACCTGGGTCAGTCTCCCCCCTTCACTACTGCCTGTCACCACACCTCGCACCTGGGTCAGTCTCCCCCTTCACTACTGCCTGTCACCACACCTCGCACCTGGGTCAGTCTCCCCCCTTCACCACCACTGCCTGTCACCACACCTCGCACCTGGGTCAGTCTCCCCCCTTCACTACTGCCTGTCACCACACCTCGCACCTGGGTCAGTCTCCCCCCTTCACTACTGCCTGTCACCACACCTCGCACCTGGGTCAGTCTCCCCCCTTCACTACTGCCTGTCACCACACCTCGCACCTGGGTCAGTCTCCCCCCTTCACTACTGCCTGTCACCACACCTCGCACCTGGTCAGTCTCCCCCCTCACTACTGCCTGTCACCACACCTCGCACCTGGGTCAGTCTCCCCCCTTCACTACTGCCTGTCACCACACCTCGCACCTGGGTCAGTCTCCCCCCTTCACTACTGCCTGTCACCACACCTCGCACCTGGGTCAGTCTCCCCCCTTCAACACTGCCTGTCACCACACCTCGCACCTGGGTCAGTCTCCCCCCTTCAACACTGCCTGTCACCACACCTCGCACCTGGGTCAGTCTCCCCCCTTCAACACTGCCTGTCACCACACCTCGCACCTGGGTCAGTCTCCCCCCTTCAACACTGCCTGTCACCACACCTCGCACCTGGGTCAGTCTCCCCCCTTCACTACTGCCTGTCACCACACCTCGCACCTGGGTCAGTCTCCCCCCTTCACTACTGCCTGTCACCACACCTCGCACCTGGGTCAGTCTCCCCCCTTCACTACTGCCTGTCACCACACCTCGCACCTGGGTCGCTGGGAGCTCACGCTCTCCGAAACAAGCAGTTTAAGGGCTGGTTAATAGTTAAAGAAGTCACCAGCGCCATCTGCTCGGCATCTTTACCACATCATCTTTACAGTTTGAAGATTTTCCCTTATTAATGATGAGCTTGTGGCGCAAATTTGCTCATCAAAGGCGAGTTGATCACCACTTATCACACGCGATATATAAAACTCATGAACCTCTTGCCAGGTTTTATTCTACTGAGCATCAGATGTGAGGCGCAGTTGACGGAGACTGCTGCCAGATGCACGTGATGGAGGAGGTTGTGAGAAGGAGGTGATGGAAGATGCCCTGACATGAGAGTGATGGGGGGGGGGGAAGAGAAAGGAACTATCAGGAGAGAGCGCCAAGCCATTTCCACTATATAGCACTTGGGAAGGATCAGGATAAACATTCAGTCCGTCCTCCTAAGGTGTCCCAACGTCCAAAATCAGTCAAATTAGAGTGCCCTCTCCTTACCTACCAGAGGACCCAAAACAGAAAACGGGGCAGTACGTCACTTTTGCGAGCCGCTTCCATTTTCTAGTACGACAACTTTTGTCCTTATGTAAAGCATACGAGCGAAAAGCGACGTTCTTTGTAGGACAGGTTGAAGGATTTGGATTGGGACGGTCGGGGATTGAGCGCCGACCTGCATGAAGCGAGACCGTCGCCCTGCCGTTCAGCCCAAGAGATTTGGAAAATATCAAAATTACCAGAGATGAGGGGAGGAGGTATGTGCTGAATGTGAATGTGACACAGGTTGTTGGACCTGGCAGACTCTCACCGTGGATACTACAGGAGGGTGCACGCTGCTGCTCTCTACGGTGGGTAACAAGTCACAGGAAGCAGGAGACCTGCCAGAAAGTTGGACGGCAGCTAACGTAGTCACAGTACTGTAAGAGGTGACCGGTGCGAGGCACTGAACAACACAGCGGAGTTACTAACTTGGGCACCATGCAAGGTTGTGGAGATGACCGTGAGAAAAACTATAGCAGAACTTCTGGAGAGAAGCTACTCTCATTGATGATGACTGATGACAGTGTTGATGCTGTGATGATGACTGATGACGGTGTTGATGCTGTGATGATGACAGTGTTGATGCTGTGATGATGACTGATGACGGTGTTGATGCTGTGATGATGACGGTGTTGATGCTGTGATGATGACTGATGACGGTGTTGATGCTGTGATGATGACGGTGTTGATGCTGTGATGTTGACTGATGACGGTGTTGATGCTGTGATGATGACGGTGTTGATGCTGTGATGATGACGGTGTTGATGCTGTGATGATGACTGATGACGGTGTTGATGCTGTGACGATGACTGTTGACGGTGTTGATGCTATGATGATGATGGTGGACCACTGTCCAGTCCATGACAGCAGTACAGTCCACAATCATCAACATAACAGCAGTACAGTCAACAATGATCATCAGGAAGCCGCTGTACCATCCTCAACACCATCACCGTCAACACCAAACAATTAACAACCAAAATGACATGAATGCTCCTGACACTGTCTAAAAATGTCACCTCACTTGCTGGAGGCAACACCTGGTCACCTCACTTGCTGGAGGCAACACCTGGTCACCTCACTTGCTGGAGGCAACACCTGGTCACCTCACTTGCTGGAGGCAACACCTGGTCACCTCACTTGCTGGAGGCAACACCTGGTCACCTCACTTGCTGGAGGCAA